AAGGAAAAGTTTTGAAACGAGGAAGTGTGAGGTTTGTTCTATACTAGTGTAATGATTTCGCCTTAATGGATAAAACATGGAAGAAAAAATGAGCTAAAATGTTTAACAGCAGTGCTAGAAACTTTTCACGGGAATAGAGGATCCAGAAGGTTTGCAATAACATAAGACCTTATAAAATTTTCCTTAAGTATATGATAAGTGATTAAATTGAGCTAAGTTAATTGGTTAATATAAATAGTATTCCATTACTAGCTTTATTTAAATAAATTGTACTAAAATGTTCAGGTGTACGCCAGGTGAATTAAGAAGACTATTTAGTTTGGCGAAATATACCTTGCATAAGCCGGTAAAAGAAAGTTGATGGATAAAACCAAACCCTCCCCTAGCTAAAGAGAACTGCACAACTTATGGGCTCAGAAATAACAAAGTAAGATCAAAGTTAAACAGATTCAATAGTTACTGTCTAGACTAATGGTATTGGGGATGCTTTTATTTCGTATGAAAGTGCATAAAACGAAATGAAAGTCCTTCCGAAAATATTATCTCAGGAGATTAATCGAAACCCGGTTACCCTTCGTATCTAGACTTCACGATCGAAAAAAGGCCTTGAAATAGTTATTTTACATGAAAAATAATAAAAATCGGCAAAATGATCATTATATCTAAAGTTAAGGCTATTAAGGGAAAAAACTTAACCAGACCGCGATTACACCATAATGGTCTTCGTACCTTGGATTATTCAGTGTAATGATCGCAATAGCAAAACGGGAATATATTATCAAAATATCTTATCACTGGTCAAAAGCATGACTCACTAACACTTTAAATTAAATGGGCTTATCTCATCGTAAAAATAGGTATTAAAAACGAACCTCGCACAGGATAATGAGTCCGATATTCCTAGTTCTTGTTGGATAAGCATAATTAGCCGATTTTGAAGCACAATCGGCAAAATAAATTCCCTTGCCAAACATATAACCAGTAACTGGAGCCTCGGGAGGAGCTACCTGCAGGCCATGGCTTAGAATGCCCATCCAGTTGACAAGGCGACTGCCATGCCAGAGCAGCATTCTAGCAATTTATGGAAAAAAATAGAAAAAATAAAGTGATAAAGTACAAATATTTAAGGAATTACGGGATAGCAACTTAAAAAATCTTTTATGACGATTAAAAATTCTGATGCGACATTCAAATCAAAGGCATGGTGCAACTACAAATATCACTAAAAAAGTCACTACATATTTTTTTGTGCCGTTAGTGATTGGCAAAGTGATTCGGATTCGGAGTTAACATAAATAATGTAGCAGAGGACTGGGGACAAGATGCATTAAGCTAGGTCTCTTTGACAGCAAAACCAAATTGCGAATAAAAGGTTAATTTCTTCTGTACAATTATAAAGATTAGAAAGGATTAAGCTCAATATGCAACCAAAAAGTAACAAACTTTACAATTTTATATAGTAGTCTGACTACGTTTTCGCAATTTGGTCATGTTATGGCGACCTAGCTGTACGCATCTCTTCTATAGTAGTTATAATAGTTCTCAGCAATAGTGTGGAGGTTATGCTATCACCCCCCTTTTTGTCCTGGCGAATCTATCTACTGTCCATCCCCATATCTCCTTCCCCCCTATCACAACTTCTGATTTGTTTGTTTGACTCCTCTAGAAATTTGTCTTTTTTGGCGAGTTTATTGAGGCATTGTCACTACGGGTAATCTGTATCCTTGATAGGTTGTAACTTGGTGCTAAGAATCACAAGACTCATTGAAGATGCCAGTGAAAAGTTTGGGAATGTACCAAGTCCACACTTCAATATAAGAAATTATCATAACTACTATAGCAGAGGGTAAGGTGCGTACAACTGGGTCGTCCTGACAACACGATTAAGTTGTGAAACGAGGTGAGATCACTTGCATATAGCGGAAGAGAGCTGCGACCAAAACATCTTTGTCATTAAGCTAGAGAAATAGGCTAAGAAAACTTTTAAATATTGCTACTGTAGATCTGAGGGTCTTTGAGCTATTTCGTATAAAACATAAACATAAGGAGTGGAACGAAAACAGTGAATTTCTTAAATATGAATGTTTCAAATGTTCACTAGATGAAAAATAGGTAGCTGAGATAAGTGACGCCCAGACCATCCTTGGGTAGATCCCATTCATCCGCTTTACGCAATAAAAAAGTAGATGCAGGATAGGCAAACCAGGTGGGCGAGGTGTATAAAGCCAGCCAAACTGAAGTTAAGGGAATTCGATTAACTAAATTGTGGAGGAATTTAAGCTCAGACGACCAGGTAAACGTTTTAGAATAGACTTATTGTTGACTCTTGACTAGCCTCATAGCTGTATCTAGGGCAAGCATAACTTCAAGATATTTGGCTGGAAATTCAATGAGGCCTTCTACTCATTGTGACCAATTCAAACATAAAGCCGTTGTCTCCTAAAGCGACCTAGACTAACTAATCTTAGTAATAAGTTAGCGATCCCACCAAACATTAACCAATCCTGTCGTTTATAGTAGGGTGCTTTGCAGTTATCGGTAACCTGATTGGTGCTAACATGTACCAGTTCCTTGTCTTTATAAAGCAGGTGTAACTGGTCAAGATGAATAGGCATGATATTTTTCCAGCATGAATGAAAAATGGATGACATAAATAAGTTCGAGTCCATCCTTATTTCATCGTAGATAGTCTGTATTGCACCAATAAAATAATTTCAAGCTTATGCACATTGAGAGCTACTAAATATTTTTGAGTATTTTATTTTGATTTGAAATTACCTGGAGCCTACGTCGTGGAAATTCTCTGATTCAGATGCTCGATGACACTTGAATACGTCAAGAACATTAAGTTTATAGTGTGAATGAGTAGGCGCATGAGTCAAGTGGATGTAATCCAGGATCATCTGATTAAGAAGCGATACAAAAAAAAGAAAAGTAAAGCTAAACTCAATTAGATAATTTAGAGAGGATCAATGGAAGATGTCATTTAATGGTGTTGATCTTAATCACTATACACTCAGTGCAGACACAGAGCTGGTACCCAAGGAAGCCCTAATAGCACACTCGAAAATACAGAAGGGCAAACCGGTCTATTAAATAAGAGCGTATCCCAGGGCTCGACGATGCAGTCGTCATTTTATGCTAAAAGATGCCATGATGCATACTCTTACAAAACCGCAAATTCAC